CGAGGAAAAACATCGGTGCAAATTATAAGTCTGTATCATAATGTCCGCCCCGCCCTCTCCTCCCTGTGCCGCAAGCAGCAGGCGCACCTCGCAAACGGAGGGCGCCCTTACTCCCAGCAAATGGGCGATAGAAAACCGATCGGTGCCTATGCCATTCCCAATATGCGCTGGCTGATGTGGGGGCAGCATGAGTACGAGCAATTTTTTATTTTTATTTTTTTTGCCGATGCCCCTGATGCCGCCCCCCACCACGATGTCGCCCGTGTCGCCCGTATTAAAAACCGCTACTGAATACAGCGTTCTTACGGGAAAGTAACACTAATCTAATTGCATTTTTACAATAGTAATCCTTTACTATAATCATTACTTGAAAAAAGTAATCGGAACGCGCGTAACTGCCCATCTCTGTCGATGAGTGAAGCCCGTATTTGCTCCATGACGGTCCTGCTTCACCTGAGCAGTCACGCGTCCAGGTGAATCAGAGGGAGGAGTCCCCACCCCCCGTAAAGTGATCTTACTCACCGCTCGTGAGCTCGTGCCCGAACACGGGCACCTTCTGATTGGTGGAACAGTTCCAGCGCTCGTGCCTGAACTGTCTCTGACACTCGGCCACCCCGAGGCGCGCGCCCTCCCGGACTCCCGGCAGCAGGATGGACTTCCTGCTGCACAGCTCGCGCTGCCGGGGGCTCAGAGACAGGTTGGAACACCCCAGCTTCTCCACCACCCCCGGTGACGTCACACCGAGCCACCTGTCGACAGAAATCAGCAAAACTTTATTTAAAATAAGGAAAAGTTCAGACAGCACACCTCTGATTTATTCATTTATTACCTGTCCATCCTGCACAGGTGTGAAGTGAAGCACTAACTCTGACGTCACGTTGTGCAGCGTTCCTGGCTGTGGGGTTGCTTATCATACAGCGTAACATCTAAATGAACGCTTGTATGTACCTGAGATGTTCCGTTATTCGGGCCGAAATCGATAAGAAACTTCGAGAGTGTGCTTATATGAAACGTGTAAATACTTGCTGTATTTATACTAAAATAAAACACATATTAGAGAAAGTGGTCGCTGTGTATGTGTGCCATCTGATTTCCGAGCCAAACCCCCCCCCCGGCTCGGCGCTCATCTGCGCCTTTTATCAGGCTCTTGGCGCAGAGCAGGTCTCTTGCGCGCGTGCGCTGCTGCTGCGGATTAGAAACGGTCTGTGCACGCGCAAAGTTCGGATTCTTGGACATTACCGTGGAAAATCCGCGCGTTTCAGCCAAAAACGAGATCCAAACCTCACCAGCTGAGTGTGTGAGGGTCACAGAGAGGTCACACCGAGTCTGCGCGCATTTCTGTGAGCGCGAGAAGCTTTTAATGAGCACGAAAGAAGAGGCGCTCTTTAACGACACCGTTAATGCTCCTGTAGGCTGAGCCGGTGAATTCGCTGTTTTCCAGGCGGACTCTGCACTCAAGTTCTCCGCTGCCCTGCAGCTCACAGCCAGCTGGCTCCGTGTGCTCCTCCGGGAGCTTCATCTCCATAAACGTCTTCACGCATGACTCTGACGGCTCCGTGCCAGCGCGCGCTTTGGCACGAGACAGCTGAAGAAAACTTTTGGGCTTTTATTTAGCGTGTGTGTGTGTGTGTGTGT